TGTCAAAATGGTTGACATTTTGCGATTTTCCTTGGTCGACTTAGTAGGAATCCATACTTGTTTCATCTAAATCTGCGATAATTACCCTGCTTTTGAATATTAAATTCCAATATTTGACAGCCGATACCGCCTCACCTGTCATATATATAAGGTTGCGCCCATGGTAAAAAATGTTGCTTACGCCATCACCAATAACATATTTAAATTTCATCCAAATATCACGGGTAACCAATTTCCGTTTAAATATTGCGGGGTCCTTTCTTAATTCTTAATTTAATTTTTTCTATTTTGGTGTCATATCGAAGTCTTTTCGACACTAAAAGTAGTTTCGAAAAGAAGCTCTTTGTGACACTTGTTTTTTACTTATCGGAGGTTGGTAACACTGGCTGACTGATGACCATCGAACTGTCGTTCGCGATAAAAAATAATAGAAGATTTCTATATTTGGCATGTAGTGTTGCCAACCTAAACATATGAAATCAGGAAATATGAGAATAAAATTTCCAAGAAAAGTTTTTTTTTTTTTAATTAAACAATACCAAAATAGAAAAAATAGTATAAAATATTCGTTTCATAAGACATTTTATCGCACTCGCCCTTTAGAAAACTCGCCTCCGGCTCGTTTTCTAATATAGGGCTCGTGCGATAAAATGACGTCTTATGAAACTTGTATTTTAATGTACTATTTCAGTTCAGTTAATTTTTTTAAAATTCGAACTATGAATTGGGGATGATAAATTAACAACGCATAATTTATTTAATGGCTTCGTTATATCTCATTGTTTCTTATGGAAAAAACGGAATTTATTTTTTTTCTCCAAAACTATTGAAGGTAAAGGTATAAAACCTTATATCATCGAAATCAGCTCACAAAGAGCTATTCAATGAAAAAATAATATACGGGGTGTCCCATTTAAAAAAACACAACTTTAGCTAATATTCCAAAATCGGGACATCTGGAAAAAAATTGGTCATGTCACTGGATTCTACTTGAAAAATTGCCTACAGAAAGTATTTATCGTTTTTGGATATCTTGATTAATAAAGAAATTAGAGGATTTTTTAAAATTGGCCAAAATTTGAAAAGTGCCCTGTATTTCCTAAACGCATCAAGTTAGCCGTGACTTGTCTTCATCATGGTTTTCTCAAAAAAAGAGGTCGAGAATGTGCTCCCAGATGTTTGATACCTCTGCTAGTTTTTGATTTACCCCATTAAAACATCGAAAATGGGCCACCCTGTATAAGTAATACTTATGTGACGCGCATGGAAGTTTGAATTTTTTTGAATCAAATGCATGCAAGTCACATGAATAAAACTTATACTCCGAATGAAATACAATATTTTATTTTCAAACAATCTTTAATTCCTAATAGTGCAGAATTTTTAATTTAAATTATGACATTCATATTTGGAGGGATCACCTTTATAGGTAAAGTTTGTTTCGCCAGGGTTTGTACTTGCCACCAGCATTTGCCTTCCTTGTTTAATAAATAAAAATTCGCTGAAACAAATAAATGACGTCAAAAACGTTTGTCGGTTCTTAAACCAGAAGTCATTCATTTTAATTTGTCAAAAAAATTGAATGTGTCATATGAATTAATCGACGACAACCTTTTTTTTTCAAGTTTCAAGGTCAAGTATGAACCCTGGTGAAACGAACTTTAGGCACCTATACCTGTATCTACAGGGGTGCGTTCAAGGACGGCAATGCTAATGCCAAAACCTACTTTTCCCCCTCCACCGGTAATGCCGAACCACGTAGGTTGGAGCCGAACTCGAACGCAAAATGCCAATTTTGGCTTGGCTGTAGCCATTCCTGAACGTAGCCCAGGTGAACTACCTTAAATCGCTATGGAAAAAGATGTGTAACGGCGTATAAGTGTTATACTCCGGTCTCCGGCGGAGTATAACACTTATACGCCGCTCAAGCTGAAAGTCATTGAAGTGATACATACCTGGTCAAAATGATCACAAAAAATACTGTTTTATGACGTTTGAAAATAAAATTAATTAGTTTTAGTTTAGTTAGTTTTTCGCACTTTACATTCCCTCAATTAGGGTTTCATTATTTTTGATTTTGATAAGTACTTATGCTTTTTTATTCTGGGACGGGCTTTTCAGGTCAAGAATAATTGACTAGGTACCTATTGCAGAAGTATTCCTAATAATATGTTGCAGGGTTTTCAGGCTTTATTGTCTGGTCAAATAAAATGTTTAAGCACTTTACATTCCCTTCCATTAAAAAAGAATATCAGGTTTTGATAAAAGTCAGTAATTTATGGTTCGTGTAGAAATAGTTATTTTCCTAACAAGTGCGCAAAGTGTTACTTTTCCGCACGCAAACACAGTTATACGAACGACGCGAAGCGGAATTCGGATAAGTGTTTGCGTGCGGAAAAGACACTTTGCGCACGTGTTAGGAACAAAATTTTTCCTACGAGCTTCATATCAGGTAGGTAAAAACAAAAATTAAAAAAAAAATACGATAATTTGTTCAATAAACTTGAAGCGAGTCTATTCATTCATCAAGAAATTACATAACAAAAAAAAGAACAGAAAATTGAAATCCTCGTCAGAGCTGTTCATCTCATCTTAAAGCGTTTAAATTTGATGCGAGAGAAGTTTGTAGATTCTTGCATGTAAATGGAGAACACAAATCTGACAATGTGTCAAAGTTAATTAATTATATTCAGTGTTTGTATAGATGTTGGCTGATAAAAACAGAGAAAAAATTTGTCATCATGTGTAAAAGTCGAGAGGTGCACTTATTGTTGCTTGACAATTATTTTTACGGAAAAGTGTAACTTTGAGAACGAAAATGCGTGCGGAAAAGTACTACTTTGCGCACCCTCGTAGAAAAATAAATTATATACACGACTAGGTTGTATTTAAAAATAGTAAAATATATTTGGATTAAAGTATTTTATAACAATAATTACATTTTTCTCGTGAATCTGGTGGACCATCTATGCGAGTTCTCCAGTCTGGTCGTGTAATGAATAAAGCAAAGTAATTTAATCTGAAGAAGAAAGCTGTTTTTGTAACTCATTGTTAACTTTCCCCATGCATCCAAAAGTTCAAATGTCTACATTTTTTCACAAATAATGTAACGGTATTTTCAATAATTCTTCGCTTGTAAAATCTGAAAGCAGTTTTTCACCACTCATATGAGCTAGAACGTGGCCTATGGATGAACAACAATTCATTTTCAAGTTTTCGTAGAAGGGTGCTATTGATGTTCTTCTCTATAGTTTTGTTGTCCGCAACCAAATGAATATAATTGATGATTTTAAATTATATACGTTAAAGTTAGAAAAGGAGGGGGAATGAAAGAAGATTAAAATGGGGGGTGTTTAGTAGAAGAATGGGTGGTGTTCAATATAAGAATAGGAGATATTTCAAAATAAGGGTGGGGGAAAGTCTGATTCCCTAGGTGGAATGGATAGACTAATATATATAGGGGTAAATCTTAGAGCAGGTAAAGCGCTGTCCTACGGACATAAGGAGTAGGAACGCGCCATTCTGCTTATGAAACTAAAGTGAAGCTAAGTTTTTGGCAGGTGTTTGGCACCAAAATACAGGTACAGCATTGAATTGCCATAACCGCCCTTTTTTGTGGGCCAAAATACCTGGAAAAAAACGGTTTCATTTTCCAAATCCAGGTTACTACTCCTTTACCTTTACCTGCTCTAAGGGGTAAATAGACTGGACTCTCCAATGTTGACATATCATGTCGTATTTTAGCGCCCTCTGCTGACTGAGAGTGAACTATAAATACTAGTTCGGTCATTCTCCGAAAGATGGCACTTTGTTATCGATAGTTCATTGTAATTTTTACAGTAACTTGACAACCCTCTTCAAACAGTGGCGACAATGGAGGTCCCGCCGCCATATTCCTGCAAATTTTTGATATGAATAATAGGAAATAAATGAATATCCCCTCAGATATCCATATCTATCATAAAAAATTAAAAATAACGTATTCAAATTTTAGTCAGAGAAATACGTTACCTTCAAATTTTGATGATAGATATTCATTTATATTCAATAATTCCCATGTATTCATATTTGAAATTTCAAAAATATGGCGACGGGGCCTCTATTCATCTTTGCCACTGTTTGCAGAGGTTTGTCACAGAACCAGATAATTTAAATTCAAATTTTGAAACACATTTGAAATGTCGAATGAACGACAAAACCAAATGACAATGACATTTCCGATGAAGGATTCGGTATTTGTTTCATTTTCGTTTTCATAACCTCTGTTTTATGAGACCAGCAGAGCCATCAGCGGTCACGAGTGAACTAAAAAAGCTGGCTCAAAGCGGTAATATGAGTGCGCGGAGCATGGTGGAATGACGCCTTACCTTCCACTCTACTGACGTTGGGATTTGTGACGTATGATGACTTTGAGATGTCTTTAAGACGCCTTGAAGACGTAAGCAGACGTCTCGAATGTCGTTTGTGGACATCTTAGGAACGTTTTCAAGATGCCTCTTTGCTGTCTGGGTTCTGTAGCTGTCTACCCAAAAGTATACTCTAATATGTATTTAGTAAGATGGTAAATGGCGAGTGGTTCTATTGATGGTGTTCATTTCCTTGGGTTAGTTTGGGTTATGGAGTCTATTAGACTATCCAAGATGTTGTCAAACTTACATTAAAATGTCCGCCAAGAGGCACACAAACTCTATGTTTGCTTGTCAAAGTCACGTGTTTTGTGTTTTGGATAGGCTAATTTGCGAATGAGAGAAACGGTGCCTAATTTAGGGGTTCATCTTCAGGTTCAGAAAACTTGTGATGTCACTTGTTGCCTATTATTTGAGAGTAGGGAATCTAATTTTTGGTAGCTTTTATAGCTTCCGGCCTTCTCATTGGCATGTGATAATTTAGTTAAGCAACCTGTTTGTGATAAGAATTGAGGTTGTGTGCTCCGGATGGATAAGTTCCATCAGGCATTATATTTTCGCAAAAAAATAGTATCTATTATTGTTTTTTTCAAGGGTAAATGAAGAATATGAAGCGGAAACGCGCGAAATGAAAAGAGTAATAGATGAACTCGAAAATGAGGTAGAAGAAAACAAGATCATTGGAAAAACCTTAAGAAATTCCATAAGTATAACCGAAAGCGAGGTACAAAAATTGCAAGGAGCACTTAAAGAAGCGGAGGAACAAAAGGGCAAACCTAAAGATTGCAAATGCCAGTACGGAGAAGAATTTCAAGACGATGACGAAATTGATATGTTGAGGAGAGAATTAGAAGAAAGAAAAACAGAATTGGGCGAATACGAGGAAGAAAATAAGCATTATAGTCAAACGATTGAGTCACTCAATAAACAGAATAACGATTTGCTCACAAAAATTAGACAATTGGAAAAAAATGTAAAATTTTGTATTATTTTATACGAAAAAATTGATATAATTATTTTCAGGGCAATATCCAATCGGAGAAAAGTTGTCATGTTTTGAATGATAAAATTCAACAACTTGAAGAAGAAAATGAATTTTTATATGAGGAAGGCAAGAAACATGAGTTGGAAATGTACAAGAAGTTGTCAGAGGTGGACCGGCTCAAATCTACGGTAATAACTCAAGGAAACGAACTAGATGGGTTATCCTTTGAAAATGACGAATTGAAAAAAGAAATAGAGCAATTAAAACGCGACAATCAGTTAGAAACGGAAAAACTACAGGAGGCAGTAGAAAAATCGCAAATTCAAGTTGAAAAGTTGTTGAAGGAACATGATGCAAAATCAAATGAGATTGAGGTAAGTTTAAAAAAAAAACTTTATAATAAAATTTTTATAAATATGTACTTCATTAGCAAGTGGCAAATGAGTTAACTAATATAAGAAGAAGCGTCGACGAAGATAATGGTAAATATTTGGGAATAATCAAGAACCTTGAAAAGGAACGGGAAGACCTGCAAATAAAATTAAAACAAATGTCAGAACATTCTGATTGTATATGTGGCGCCAGCCAATCTGAAATGGAAAAGTGAGTACCGAGAAAAACATACTTTAATAAATCACAAAATTTATACTTTCAGGTTAAAAGCAGAGTTATTCAAAAAGCAAGCCATCATATACGAACTGGAGAGAAGTATGAACGAACTAACGAAAAGTTTCAAACACTTTGATAGAACAGCGGACGATTTGGCCTATGAAAACTCCATGCTTAAAAACGACAGGGACAATTACGTTAGAGATCTTGAAGCTTTACAGGCCGCTTTATCAGAAAAAATTAACGAGCTCGAAGAAATGAGAAAAAAACTGGAAAATTCTGATGTCTTGTGCGATAAATGCGTGAAAGCCGGCAGAGATACTAGCTTGGAAAGATCATCAACATATGCTTGCCAATATTGTGACAACCTAGAAACGAAGATGGAAATGATGAAAAGGGATCGGGAAAAGCTCGATCAAGAAAAGCGTAAAATGGAAATGAGCGTTGCTAACTACTATCAGCTACAAATGGAGCTAGATTCACTGCGTGGGCAGAGTCAGAAACGGGATTCCATCACTTGCAACAAATTGTGTGAATTACAGAAAGGTTATGATGAGCTTAAATACCTGTATGACGTTAGAACTGATGAGAATGAGAAGCTGAGGAACGATCTTTTAAAAAGGTAATTGGAATTTAGGTAGATAGAGAGCATCACCTTATCTTGTCACTGGGTTATTGCTTATCATTATTGTGCTCAGTATTGAAATTGTTTATCAACGATAATTATTGAGGGATATTCGTATTCACAACTGAGTTCAAACAAGGTTTATAAGAAGTGTTTCTATAATCCTATCCTCATTTGAGAAAACGATAATATTATCGGCCAATACTAGTTAGGCAGGTATAGTTATTTGCGGTAGCTTAAGCTCTTTCTACCTATTCCTTCAGCAACATTCAACTGTGAGATTTTTTTTCTCTATAATAGATATTTATGTTATAAGGATCATAATGACGATCATTATGGTACTAGACGTGAATATTATTGATTGTTTATGATCCGAATTTCATACAATATTTTATATTCCGGCGATTATAGTCAATACATTGTTCTGTTACATTTAAGTTTATTGGAAATAATTGAAGAAGGCTAATTTTAGTAATGTGCTTGACTGCTTGGCAACCAAAGTAACAATGGAATTGTTTGTTTGTATTGTCATATTGTCAAAGTTAAATTCACAGAAAAACAATGTGCGACAATTTCGACACCTACGTCCAAGATCAGTTTATCGAATTGTGAAGATTTTGTAACTAATTTTAATCGTTAAATTTTGTTGTTTCCAATAGATGTTTCATATTTGTGCCTGCTATACCTATATATTTTTTTTTTCATTATAGTACTTAGTACTATAATGAAATCATTATAGTACTCAGGACTATAAAGAAATCATTATAGTACTCAATCCAATAAAGTATGTCATTTTGACACTCAATATTGTCATTTTGACACGCCGGAATATAAAGAAGCTTTAAGCCATCATTTCTGTAACAAAATGTGAAACATCAACTTCAAAAAAGAAACTGTAAAAACTATGCTCAGACATGCCTTTTAGTTTTCTCGCTGTAAAAACAGGTAGAGTCTCGAAACCTTAGAGCCTATGTTTTGAAGCTTTCCATGAACTCTAGTTAAAATAAACCACCCAGCACTTACTCACTCATTTTGTCACGTAATTTAGGTCAATATTTCAAGATTTTCTGATACAAATATTCTTTCATAATTTAAGTGAGGCACAAAGAAATGAATCAGAAAAGAAATGCGAATGTATAACAATGGAAAACAAAAAGCTCAGAGGAATGAAAGAAGAAAATGAACATTTGCAAAAAGCATGTGCAAGTAAATCTATCGACATAGAGGTGTTAAAGGTGAAAATACTATTGTTGTTTTGTTACAAGTTCTAAAAATATTTATTATAGGATGACCTAAAAGCTGAAACTGAGCAAAGACAAATATGCAACAGAAATTGTGAAGGACTGAAAAAGAAGCAAGCATGCACTGAAATTGAATTATTGGGAATGAAGGACAGATTGGACGATCTCAGTAAAAAATACGAAGACAAGTCACAAGAATTTAAAAAGGTAAAAATACTTCAATCAGGTTAGTATTTTGAACTTACGTTTTACAATAATTCTGATCGTCCGAGACGTCATTTGTTGTTTCATGGAGTAGATTAGATTAGACTTGTTTGAATGGAGATGACGCAGAGGCGTCTCGGTGTGAACTTGGGCGAGCAGGAATTGAGGAACTGCTTTGCCTGTCGTTGCCCTGGTGTTTGCTACCATCCGAACTCTCTGCGTCTATCCAGTTTTTGATAGATGTTTAAAAAGGCCTGCAGAGATTTCACAGAATGGTTCTGGGCCTATCATCTCGGTGGCTGAGCCTCATAACCAGGCAATGGTAAGTTTGTGAAACAGGCCTACCTAGTCTAGGGCCGCCTCGCTGCCCGAGTCAATAACGATGTTTTTTCTCCTTTCCTTTCATTTATCAATATGACACAGTGCATTATTGCAGCGATTTCCGCCTAAAATACCGTGACGTGCTCTCCGAGACTTGTGGATATCACCTTTGGTCTGTCTCCATAGATACTAGCTCTGGCCTCTGACCTCCTTGTTGGTCTTGGAGCCGTTGGTGAATCAGATGTGGTCTGCTTTAATTGAAGGACCTTTCTTCCAGTCTTCCCTATCCGGTATGACAACCCAGAAGTGCCTGCTAAAGATGAAAATAGGCGTTGTTTTATCTGAGGGTATTTCGAACAAGAAACAGACCTCCGGATCCTCTTCTTTTCTCCAGCTTCCTTTGGTGTTTTATAATTATTGGATCCTGGCCTTGATTCAGTCTGTAGAGTAGGTACCGCCGTTACTTCACCCTGTATTGTACCCCAGGCAACCGAATCATAATTTATAATTGGTCTTATTACCATTTTGTATAACCATAGATTCAACTTTGGGTTAAGTCCCCAGCCTTCTGTATCTCCCCAGGGAAATTTTAGCCTTCTGGACAACTTTGTTGAAGTGTGGACCGATTGAACTGAACCCCAGGTCATGTTTTGATCAAAAATGACTCCTAGATATTTGATATCTTCTGAGAAAAGGATTTCCGTTCCGTTAAGCTTAGGGGAGCGAAGCCCTCTTATAATGCCTAATGGAGTAGGTCTAGTTTTTCCAGTACAGTTTATTGACAAAAGAATCTTGTAGAGAATATTTTTTAAACCATGTAGCATGTGAAATGCTACTGTTAGTAACTGTTTTTTTTTCTTTCATATATTATTCTATAAGTTGAATTATTACCTTTAATGTTGATAGTCTGGTGACTAGCATTAAAAAAAGGCTTTCTGCTGGCGCTAATAATATTAGCAATTATTAAACTAGAGGGCACGATTTTCGTTTAAGTTTGAAGTACCAGTTTAACACCAACACTTTCTGTTGGCTATTTTTGTGGAGAAGCTCTGTTCATCTTGTCCGTTTCTTTTCTCACCGCTTTCAAATTTTGCCGTTGGCCCTGAAAGGTCGACTCTGGCCTGGGGGACAGCCATCTTCCTCAACTGTGATTACAGTTATCAAGAAAAGTACCTTATCGGCCATCAGGCATTATTTTAACGAAATAAAGTTGCGAATAATCCATTAAATATCGAAAAAAATTTAAATCGAAAGTCTGTGAATACTGTTTTATTTGAGTTTGAATTTCGAACCCCTCTTGGGTTTTTCGAGAAACCGTTTCTCTCAACGAATCAATTTCCAAAAGCCCACATTTTTAACAGAACGCCATTTTCGTGGAGGTGGCAAAGAGCTTTTTTTGAAGGGATTTCTAGCGGAATCAAGTCCCTCACGTATTGACTCCTGTACCTCCACATTTGACAACTGAGAACTTCTAGCCTCTATTTACCTTGATTCAAGGGTAAAATCCGCAACTTCCATGTGCAACTTCCCTCGTCAAGAGAAAATGGATGACTATCGTAATCCAGCTTTTGTTGGAATAGTACGGGAGCTGGCGACACTTTTTATTGTCCCATTTCATAAAACTTGAATTATCTTTTATTTTGAAATATCAATATTCATGATCAAGAAAATGAACTCCTGTCACCTTGTTAGCGGGACAACGGTTGACTGCGGTATGCCAAACATGTTGAAAAAAAAGTCCAAATGTTTAAAATAATAAAAGTTAAAACTACCAATTTTTTTAATAAAATTCAAATAAGACAAAAGGACCTCCTGCCACTTTTTCGGTAAACCTATATATTTCTGCCATAATTTTATTTACGTAAAAAGAAATTATCAATTAATATAAATTATAAAAGTTGACATTTTTTCTAGCATTTCATTAATAATAGGGAACTTGCACATTTTTTTTTTATTTCAAAAATGTGTTGCACTACACTGAAGACATAGTCATGCCAAATATCAAGCATTAAAAATCAGCCGTTAATTTTTTATAAATATTTGAAGTTACGCTCGAAACATCGCCATTTGAAACGACCGATTAGTGTGACGTCACTCAGCAACAAAATTCCGTTCACAGTCCTTGGTTGACAGTGACCTGCGAGCAGGTAGATTTAGATTATGGTTATGTTGTTATGTATGCCGTTTATGATAGATTTGACAGTGACAACACCAGCAGCACATGGTGTGGCAGCGGTGCGACCCGATTATTACTGCCCTTTGACGTCAGGACCCATAATGGCCGAGTTCGTTTTTGTCATATTTTTCGTCGATTTGCTCCGAAATTTTGACAGGCACGTGACTGGATAAGACAGTTTCAAGTTACAAATCACGTGCCTGTCAAAATTTTGGAGGAAATCGACGAAAAAGATGACAAAAACGAACTCGGCCAGAAATACGTTTTTCTACTGACGTTTCATAATAGCAACTTTTCGATTGTCATTTCAGTTTTGAAACGACATTCTTTTAGGCACTGAGTGCGTGAAAGTTACTTTTAGGCACTCAGTGCGTAAAAGTGACTTTTGAATGCGTAAAAGTGACTTATGAGTGCGTAAAAGTAATTTTTAAGCACTAGTGCCTAAAAGTGTCATTCATTATTCAGAAATAAAAAACACACTAAACACATATTTGAATTTTGTTTTGTATTTATTATGAATATTGAAAATTGAATTACTGAATTGAACGTTTGGGTTACTCAAAACAGAACTTTGTGTTATTACCTACTTTCTAGGATTTTAATTATTGATGTCGAATTTTGAAAAGAAAATCGCATGAAAAGTGTCAGGTGTCAAGTAAAAGCAGGTAACAAAGATTTTGGGTGTAATCGACTTATTCACATGAAATAAAATTGTGTTTTTTTATTATAAAATGCCAGTAGAAAAAATCTTGTATACAATACGTTACGAAACGGTGTCTTTTAGTCACTCGACGTGTTGTCCAACTCGGCTTTGCCTCGTTGGACAATTTTCACGTCGCGTGCCTAAAAGACGCTCATTTCGTAACTTATTGTATAAATAGCTATTTTGATCTTGTCCAGAATTTCGAATTATTCGGTATTTTCAATTGAAGATTTTGAAAACCAGAGATAAGATATTATATCCTTCTCCTAATTGCATCATTTATTAGGATGATTGTTATTGTATTTTATTATTTATTTCATATTTAATTTAATGTGCAAGTTCCCTATTACGATAACTAAAAAACGTATCCTGCCAGTCATTTGATGGGACCTGGCTTCGGCAGGAGCTAGTGAAATAATAGGGTCTTGACATAATTACTTAATTACAGAAACAAATTTGTTTCAACACGTTAGATTCTTTTTTATTTATTTAAGCGCAAAAAATATGTAATATTGAAAAGTTTACAGACGCGTATCTTCGTCAATATATTCGTAGACAGTTTCCACAAAAGTGGATAAATCTTTGGTTAGTTCATTGATCACAGCACCGAGCGAACTGAACTAGAACTGAACATCAGCACATCAATCATTCATATGGAATCTTTAAATGCCCAAACATCTGCCTCACATCAGGCTTTCATTGTGTACAAAAGACGTCCAGGTAAGACCCTTTTTCAAGGTGCTCATTTGCTCCATGTATGTGATCACTTAATATCTACCGCATTGAGAACCTTTGGATTTGGAATTTGGAAGCCTAGAAATAGTGGATATACAGTGTATCCAAGATAAGAATGAGATAGTATTAGGATCTGGGGAACGGTTCGAGTAACAATGTTGGTTAGATTAGAATAAGGTTCCGAACATTTTCCAGATATCCGGAAAAACCCGAAACTTTATAAAATCGATTTTTTTTTTCTAAGTTTATTTGAGGAGATATTTCAAAATAAATGTCTCTTAATCGTGACCACTTTTTCTACTCTACAAGATATTATCAACTTTAAAATTTGACGTTTGTAACGCTCTTTTGTCGAAACAAAAAATTGCTCATAATCTGTGCTCGACTATTGCTCAGTGGTTGTTTAGCTTGGGGTGGTCCTTGGTATTGGTACAGTAGAGAGAGGGCGCCACTAGTTTGTATAAATTATTTTTATCACCAAGGAATAGCCAAACTAGGCACTATTCCAACAATTAGCTAGTATTTAAAAAGATAAATTTAAAAATCAGAAAAGGTACAATAAATCCAAAATCCAATAGCTATCTGACATTTAACCCATTCAATAAAAACACAAGTTGCGAAATTCTAAACACAATAATTTATTAATTAAATGTCATTAAAAATTTGTGACAAGATGGCGAACTGTTGTTCAATGGTTCTAAGAAAAATATTGTCTAGTATCCAAGTTTTTTTTTTAAAAAATCATCAAGCAGCTTCTCAAAAGCAAAACTTAATTTAAATAAGTCTAATATTGAAATTCAAAAACAATTAATTGATACCTACGATGAAATTTACCTAAGTATAAATGATAAAGTCATAATACCATTAACCTTCAATTTTTGACTCAAAGTCAATCAAATCAATAGAAGCAAATTCATAAATGCAGAAAGGTAATAAATAATCCCTAGGGAGTCAAAATTATCAAAAACCTATAATCAAGGGTGTCGAGGAGAGCTCTACCGTCTTACCTGTAGTTAAAATTCAAAATATGTCACCATGAGATTGAACTACCTAAAGATTTTACATTGG